AGAGGGAGTTACCTTGTAGAGGTCAATGGGCATGTGCAGTAGGAGGGAGTTACCTTGTAGAGGTCAATGGGCATGTGCAGTAAGAGGGAGTTACCTTGTAGAGGTCAATGGGCATGTGCAGTAGGAGGGAGTTACCTTGTAGAGGTCAATGGGCATCAGTAGCAGGATGATGATGTCAGAGAAAGCCATGCTGCAGAGATATATGTAGGTGGTGCTTCGCAAGTCCCGGCGGAGGCGCACCACCAGCACGGTCAGTGTGTTGCCCACCAGGCCCACCACCAACAGCAGGACGCATACCGTCGTCACCAGTACCAGTTCTGGAGAGCTGAAGAGGGGTTCCTGGTGATAGGTAAAGTGTCTGTCCATGTCGCTGTCGTTTCCGCAGCCGTCCCAGCAGCCTGCCACTGATACATTCGGACCCACTATGGGGTCCATCATCCCACTGCGGTTCCCCTCGCTTCCTTATTGGTGATTGGACACCAATCCTAACTGAACTCTGTCCACACCAGAGAATGTGGCAATCTGCAAATATAGATGTTTTCTATGGCATCTAGATGTAACCAGCTTCAACGATTGCTTTAACAATGACACATCAGCCATAACATGGTCACAGGCTGTGTCCGGCTTCTATCCCAAACGGTCCTGCTGGGTCAAATGAGGAAGCCCAACCTCAGTCCCCAAGCACGAGGATGATGAGTCAGCTGAACAATCAAGCTCTTTTTTTTGTTGAATCAGTCCGTCGTTGAGCTGAAGACAATATGGCATGATTGACAGGATGGCAATACAGGAGCGACATCATTAATCTAAACAAAAAAGAATACAAACATTTGTATTTATATGCATTTTAACTTGCCAACTATTTATCCATATGTACAACAAGCTGGGCTAGAAGATAAGTCACACATTTGTGTTTAGTAAACGAAATAATTTTCAGCCTGAGGGTATTTTAATATGAAACTATAAGGATTTCTCATTTTTAAGCACTGGTTTTTTTTTGGAGTATAATTTTAAGTAATGGAAAAAGGAATCTTAAATAGGGCAGAAAATGCTTAAATCTTACTAGGATTTTCATTTCCTATCAAAATTCTGCAGTTTCAATTTGTTTTGGTCAACAATTTCCAGCGATGCCAGTTTCCTCCCATGAAAAAAAACAATCCTTTTGCCGTATTCATGCAATTCAAAGGACCCTGATCTAATTACGTTGTGCTTTAAATGCCGCTCATGTGAACCTAAAAGGGCACAATGTCCTGCCGCAGAGCATCCAGTCCAGGACATTCCCAACACACCCTATACTTCCCGAGATACAAGGGAAACTGTCACAATCCTCAATGGAAAAGTTCTTGTAATACAAAACACAAGCTCTTGCGTTAATTACCTGTTTTTATAATTAGTACCTGCACACGAAATCATTCGCCAAAAAAGGTAATGAAGCATCTTCTCTACATGAATTAATATGGATACGGAATTAATATGGAGTAGCTGCAGTAATATACTTTTCTTAAGGCATGCATCATCCATGACCATCATCTCATCTAGGGGGCACCCATCCGTTTGCCCTGTGCTGCCTGGGATAGGCTCCGGCCCCGCCCCTTACCCTCACCAGGAAAAGCGACTGGAAGATGGATGGATGGATGGATGTAATGCTGTGCTAAGGCACTTTGCTTATTAACAGATTATTTCCTGTTTGATCACCTTTTGATCTTAACCTTAGTCAAAAAAGATGAATGGGGACAGTGGGGGTGTTATGTCTGAATGAATAGCTTTTCTTCACCCCTTTACGCCACACATATGAACGGTTGAACAAACACGGACAGCAGAATCTCAAGATTTCGAGTTTCAATACTATTTAAAATCTCACGTCGCCATAAAGTCTCGATGTCTACAGTCACACACACACAATCAACTGACTACATTTTCTTATATCAGATGTAGAAAAATTGTGCTTTATAGCAAATCCAGTTGGTATTCTAGGATTTCTAAAATATGCTGTTGGGATTGGCCTACAATTCACCAAGCACCTTACAATTCAGTACAAAGCAACATACAGCAAAAAAAAACAAAAAAAAAAAACACACTTAATGGATTTTAAAAAATCCTACATAATAGGAATATAAAGTTGTAACATTAAACACAACACCCTGGGGAATACAGACGCTTTCAGACTGGACTTGTATGAAAAGATAGGGCCAACTAGAACACCTGTTAACCAAACAAACCAATCTCATACCCTTACCTGATCTCCATGAGCTCCCGATGGTCCAAGGTGTTCGTGCTTCACCGAAAGTCATCTAAGATCAACCCTCACCTGTCCTCAAGATCAGAGAAGCCGAAGTGGCTGAGCGAACACGTACACTGGCCTTCACTCCGATCGCTCAGGCCCCGCCCACCCTGCCTGCCTCCCTCCCCCAGGATCAATGACATCTCACAGAGGGGAGGTGCCCAGTCCAGGGTCTTAATAACATTACCGGAGTTGTTCCACATACGATCGGGCAGCCCACAGCGGTGTCTCAGCTCAGGGGTCTGCGTGCGTCGCTGTAGCAGCGACCAGCATGTTAATCGCATGCCGATGCTGCCGCCGTTTAACTTGGCCCCCCACCCTGACAAAAAATAAACTACATCGAGCGAACAAACAGGGAAATCAGCGCACACACTTCTAGCGTAACACACGGTGCAACGAAATGTGGTGAATTCAAACCAAAAACTAAAAACTTATTTATTAAATACTTATGCACATGCTGATTTTGAGACAGCAGATGTACTGTAACATTTCACAAATAATCTTCACAAATAATGGTCAGAAACACAGTGCGGAAGCTTCAGGGCGGATGTCACTCATCTGACAGCACCGTGACCCTTGGGGAGCTGCCGGCTGCCAGCTCGATATGTCCAAGGGAGGTTCTCTGCGGGGAACGCGGTGGTGGGCCGTGCTCGGAACCAAGCTCAAAAGTGGCGTCGGCCAGGCACCAGAGAACCTCGGGGGAGTCCCTGTTGGTTTCGGGTGTCTGCGTCAGCCCAGGCGGAGGGGGGGGGGGGGGGGGGGGGGTTGCACCTGGCAGAAGGTCAGTGAGGGCTGCGTGCAGATCGGTGCGAGTTAGGCCAAGAGGGATGTTGTGACCCCCAGCCACCCACCCCGTCCACTGTGCTCACTCAGACACAAACAACCTGGCCCATAACGACCCAGTGGCTCATCCAGTTCATTGCCAGCCTCCGCAAGTCAGGATTCCCACTGTCTGTGCTTGCGGTACAGGTCAAAGGTCGCGTGGGAAGGGCGGGGTATGGGGCAAGGCCGTGGCAGCTTCAGCTCGTCCCCTGGGAAGAGTTGTGTCTCCCTGTAGAGTTCCCCAGGATTGTAGAAGGCCAGGAGGTCAGGGCCCTCTGCTGGACTGTCCTGGCACTGCGTGCCAAAGAGAAGCCCAGAAATCACAAACCTGCAGTGTTTACATTGACACTTACTGATCAGATATCTTCATTGACCTGGGTGCAGGGTGTGATGGATCAGACCTTGTTGGAAGGGGCGGGTGGGACCAGCTTCAACCTATCGTAGAGAGCCTGGCTGATCAGCTGATCCTCTGGCACACTAATGCTGACGAGTTCTCGGTAGAGGTTCTGAGAGCGTGGGATGTTGACTCCTGTGTGACAAGGAGAGAGGAGTGACACACACACAAACACATTGCCCCCCCAGTAATTAGTAGACTTCCTCTTGCTCCCCTGTGTGACCAGCGTCTGCCCGATTTCATCATCGCTATTAACAAGCTTCCCGGACGGCCAGACGACTGACGCCTTGAACAGCTGGACATTTCAATACTGGTTAGAACCTTTCGTCTTGGCCAATCACCTCTTGGATGCGAACCCACAACATGATGATGTTGAAAAACTATCATGCTTGCCATTCTCCACCCATGGATAGCTCAGAAAGTGATCCCCCTCCCCCCACAGTTTTCCAGCTCTCCAGGCCCCTGACCCCCCCCCCCCATCTTAACAAACCTCCGGTAGCTCGCACGCTAATGTTGCTTTTGGTGTACGCAGATGCCTTTAGGCGCTGTTGCACTGCCCTCCTGGGATCAAACTCCTTCTCTGCCTGGTCCTCCAGCTCCGCCTTCAAAGCCAGGGTGGTGTTGAGCTCCGCCCCCTGGCAGAGCTTACCGGAACCTTCCTCGGCCAGTCTGCTGACAGAGACCCCTTCTGGGCGTCCAAGCTTCTTGCCGCTCTTCCTCCCTGTACAAATGAGCAAGACCCGTCAACGGTTCTGATGAATGCGAGGGGCACAATAATTAAACTAGTCATATCAATAAGCCATTCGGCAGAGAGGTAACCATGTTTCAGGAGGTGTTCATCAAAACAAACACTGTGCCACATAGCTGCACAGACCAACGGAGCAATTAATTTTGATGCGATTAAATGAAACAAACAGAATTAGCAACATGTGCTAGAATTTTAATTAGGGGTAAGGGAGGAAATTAAAAAAAAAAAGCCTCATTGCGCTTTCTGTCAAAAAAACAGCAGTGGTTAGAACAGGTGCCAGGAAATATAATCAGCTATTTTAACACATCAGGTGTGAAAAATGCACATGTGAGAAGACCCACGAGGTGAAAAAAAAAAACCTGCAAATGGTTGAGAAATGAACACGGTTGTACTGCCTCGCCCCCTTGTTGCATATCATTTGCACTAAAACATACAAATTGTAGCAATTTAAAGGCTAAGTGGTGTGAATGATTGTGTCCCCCACGTGGGCCTGTCCGCGGCCACAAGAACACAGCACCAGCTGCAGTCAGATTGTGCCCTTGCAGCATATATAAGCTCTGCAACAGGGATGTAGTACTGAGGGCGCTAGTGTCCAGCAAAACCAGAGTGCAGTGATGATACGACCATCATTAAGCCCACTGTATTTCAAAGGCCATGTAACCAGATGAGCACTGGAGACTTAAGCCACAAAAAACCAAAACCAGCGGTCAGTCTGCTCATTTGGGGCTTGTGACTCAACAGGCAGGGAAAAACAGTTTTAATGTAAGCCCACCATTCAGCTCGTTGTGGTTCTTGGACCCGCGGGTGGTCTGAGTCGCCTCCTGCTGACTGCTGGGCTCAGTCACCGCGGTACAGACCACATGCTCCTGGGCTGGATTTCTGCTCAGTTTTATCACCGTCTCCTTCGACTTTGGGCTGATATTGAATCGCACCTGATGGCAGAGTAGCAGCACGAGCAGATCATAAAACGGGCAGTTAGGTAAACAGGTGTCATCACACCGCACATCTTTGGATAGTGTGAGGAGAGGATGAAAACCCCACAATCACAAAAGTCAGGTTAGGTTCAAACCCCAAGTCTGGGGGCGGGAGGCAGCAGCAGTCTTAGGCACAGTGCAGACGAAAACCAACATCGTACATGGGGTTCTGATGGATTCTTGCATTTCTATTAAAAATGTTATAAAGTTCTAAAGGCTAAAACTTGATTTAACCTCTGAAGGTTTCATATGCAGAAGTTTCTCTGCATATGAAAGTTTCAGTTATTCCTGTTTTCTGTTCTCAGTTTTTCTACAGGGCAAGAAAATGTATGAGGACTCAAACAACTGACGGGACCTTCTGGAGAGTCAACATCGACTTGACAGCACCTACTATAGCTGCAAAGGGGTGGAAAATTTCCCAAAACTTTCCATGGGAAGTTAAGCTGGGGAATTTTGGAAATATTGAGCTCTGTAGAACGTAGATCAGATACAGTGCCTGACAAAAGTCTTGTCGCTTAACCAAGTTGTAGG